GAAGGAAGGAAGGAAGGAAGGAAGGAAGGAAGGAAGGAAGGAAGGAAGGAAGGAAGGAAAATAAACACTGAATGCATCTGCTAAGTCTCCACCTAATATGACAGGTGTGCTGTGGGAATACAATCAGCATTACAAACCCTTCTCACCCACCAACTATAATTTCTTCTCCTATTTCATCCCACTATGTGGCTGCAGTGACTTGTGTGTGAAAAAAAACATGTCCACAGAAACAGAGTGTCTAGAGAGGCTCGTTTTTGTATGGTCTCTCTAGGACTTTGTCTCAATCATGAACTTTGGAAGGAATAGTATATCCTCAGAGAAGTAGTTTGCATTGCGTGAAGATTAGCTGCTTGAGATATCACTGGAGCATCTGGGGCTGAAATGTCGGGAACTAGTTTCTTTGAAGTTGAGGTTGGGGCAGGGGACTGGTGCTGGGGATGTCTTACATTTTTGCAAGGCTTTAGATACAGTTAAAAATGATTGAATTCGAGGAGAAAATGGGAGATTTCAAATGATAAAATGGCTCCCATAAATTACTGTAAAGCTTAAGGCATCCATTTTGGCTCTTAAATGACTACTCTGCAAAACTCACTAGGAGTCACAAAAAATGTGGTAATGAATTTTAGCTCCACTGCTTGCCATTGTGGGCAAAAATGGGCATGTTCTGAGAATGGAAGTTCAGCAGTTGTATGTCTCTGAGGTTTTGCTAGCACATGTTGACTGTCTCTACATGTATGTACATCTCCATTTCTATGGTATGGTTTAATTCACAAAATATGGTATGGGTGAATTCACAATATCAGTAGCAAGAATTTGGGGAACTGATAAACTGAATATTTCGGTTCCTCATTGACTGCTGGGATAATAAGTTGATGCTCCATACAGTTTTGATTCTTGAATTAGTATAGAATATGTTGTTCTGTAACAGCTCCAAGCAACCAATTTCTCTTCCTTCTTACTTATGCCTCTTGAGCTGAAATAATCCTATTCCTTAATAACATCAGCAAATCCAGGCAGTTATTAAATTCCTAGAAATCATCCATTCTCCCATTTATTTACTGCTGCAGGTTGGCCAGTATCCTTTGCAAAAATATTACTACTGCACGTTGAAGTATTGTAATTGCCCAAATGATGTAATTGCACAGAAATTCACTGTGTCATGATTAAATATGCAAATTGCAAGTTGGATGCACTCAAAATTGCTCTAGTTGACAAAATGATTGTGTAACTGGGGTGTAGGGAGGAAGAAATATGATGGAAGATTTTTATTTTTTTATATTTAAATTAAATTAGATGCTTTTGTTCCAAGCATTACATTACCTGCAATTTTAATTTTGTAATTAGAAAATAATTAGGCAGGAACAATACTAAAATCCAGTGGGAAAAGAAGGCACTTTTCACAGTATGAAGAAATTTAACCAAAATTAGAAGATTTGGGACAATTCTGTATTTAATGATGTATTGTGGAATTGTCAGTGAACATCTGTAAAGGCTGCCTTGCTGTAGAGGTAACACAAATTATTCTTGACACAGTCATTCGTAAGCACTTTCTCTCTCCTAATACAGGTGTCCCTGATTTTCTAGTGAACTCAGTGAAAGAGCAGGGCCAATGGCCACAACAATGGTGAAGGAAAACCTAGGATCAATCCAATTGAACTTCCTGATAAAATCATTCATATTCACTCTGACATAAATGTATTTATTTCTTTATTTAATCAATTTATATAGCTGCCCACTTAGCACATGAATCAGGAATTAACCTCCTTGGTTATAGCAGTTTTTTATAATATACCTGGTCATCCATTGTTATAGCTAAGTTTCAGTTTAATTCAAATATACGAGGTGGATAAGAATTTCTGCTAGCATGACGTTTAACATATGCATTCTTGATAATGTTTTCTGAATGATTAGAAGTGCATCTGTATAACCTTCTTGCCCTGACATGAAGATGCCTCACTTACTGTATGCTGAGGACATTCCTGACAATGTCTTCTCTATCTCATTATCAGCTAAGGCAGCCCCAAGATGGCTTTAGGTGTTCTGTTGTGGAAGTGTTGATTTCCC